GTGCCCGGTCCGGTTCCGGTGCCCGGTTCCATCCCAGCCCCTCCGTCCCCTTCCCTTCCACCGCTGACCCCAAATCCCCGTTTCCGACGGGAATTCCGCCCCCCCCCCCCGCTGTAATTAGCGGTTAATTAGGTTAATTGTGCTGTGTCCCGCTCGCTCGGGCGGTGCGGTCCGGTCCGGTCCGGTTCGGTTCGGTTCGCGCTGCCCTCACTTCTCTCTCCGTCCCCTCCCGTTCTCCTCCCGTCCCTCCCCCACAGATCGCAAGAGAGAAATCACTGAGGGAGTTTTACAGAGTAGGCTGAGCAGGAATGTAGGCACTCACTCACCACCATTGCTAACTGGGGCTGGGGTCTCTCCATGTAAATTTACTGAAGCTCCCTGTTCTCAGAGCTGCTCTATAGGTCTCTGTAGCACCTGTTGTGTCATGATGGCACTCAGAGAAGCACAAACAACCCTTACATCGCGTTTTATACCTGAGGATGCCAAAAAGGAGAAGGTTCTTGGATGCTGGTGCTCACCAAGGCAAGGGCAAATGGTATCTAACACCACACAGCCCTGTTCCCAGCAGGTCTTCAGGTTGTTCAATGAGCACACTTGCCCACCTACACCCTGTTTTTCTCTTCTATGTCTACCAGTCTCAATCTAAAGCACAGGGATGAGGGCTGATTTTTAGATGAAGTCTTGGGACACACATGGCAAGAAATGCTTTGCTAATTCATAATAATTATCCAACTTTTTTTTTGTTTGGTTGGACAAAAACATCCTTTAATTTCCTTTTCAAACTCCTGTAACAATTAATTTTAGTGTTTGGTAACTATGGTTGGATTTTTCAGTTCAAAGTCACACTGACTTTCACACTGGAAGGGTTAACACAATTGCTTCAAATCAAAATATTTCATTTACAGTTAAAGGAAATACTTATTCATCTTTCAAGCTAACTTCTGTGGCTTCACAGAACTGCCAGAGAAACCCCCCAAAACAAGTCACCATGTCTCATGTCTCATAAGGTGACTCCAAACTGTTTGGACACCCTGGAATGACGTTGCTAAACCCCAGACGAGGATGTATCCCAGTAGGCACAAAAAAAATTGCTTACGGAAGGGAAGATTCAAATTTAGAGTGGCTGCCTATCTATAAATAGTCTGCAGAACTAAAATACATTCCAGTTCGGCTGGAAATGCCTTTTTGCCTCATACTCATCCCCCCCAGATTTCTGCTCCTTTTACAACATCCTGAAGAACTGCCGCGGCCACAACACGGAGCGCTCGGTGTTCAGCGAGCGCACCGAGGAGTCCTCGGCCGTGCAGTACTTCCAGGTGGGGGCTTCCCCCATCCCGGGGGGGCTTCGGGGGGGTGCTCCCCCTCCCGGGGGGGGCTCCCGGGGTGACGGCGCGTCCGTGTGTCCGGCAGTTCTACGGGTACCTGTCCCAGCAGCAGAACATGATGCAGGACTACGTGCGCACGGGGACGTACCAGCGGGCGATCCTGCAGAACCACAGCGACTTCAAGGACAAGGTCGGGGGGATTCGGCTCCTTTTGGGGGGATTCGGATCCTTTTGGGGGGAGTTCACCTCATTTTGGGGGAACCTGACTCATTCTGGGGGGGATTCAGCTCCTTTTGGGGGGGATTCAGCTCCTTTTGGGGGGAATTCAGCTCCTTTTGGGGGGATTCAGCTCATTTTGGGGGGATTCGGCTCCTTTTGGGGGGATTCACCTCATTTCGGGGGGATTCACCTCATTTTGGGGGAACCTGACTCATTCTGGGGGGGATTCAGCTCCTTTTGGGGGGAATTCAGCTCCTTTTGGGGGGATTCACCTCATTTCGGGGGGATTCACCTCATTTTGGGGGAACCTGACTCATTCTGGGGGGGATTCAGCTCCTTTTGGGGGGGATCCAGCTCCTTTGGGGGGGATTCAGCTCGTTTTGGGGAGAATCCAGCTTGTTTTGGGGGGCTTCATCTCATTTTGGGGGTTTTCAGCTCATTTTGGGGGGGTTCAGCTCGTTTTGAGGAGAATTCAGCTCGTTTTGGGGGGCTTCAGCTCGTTTTGAGGGGGTTCACCTCATTTTGGGGGAACCTGGCTCATTTTGGGAAGATCTGACGGGGTTTTTGTCGAGACTGGCGAGGTTTTAGGGGGGAAGCCTGGCTTGGGTTTGGGTGGGATCTGGTTGAGCTTTGGGGATACCTGGATGCATTTTTTGGGGAGATTTGGATGGATTTGGGGGAAATCTGGCTGGATTTTGGGGGAATCTTTCTGGATTTTGGGGGAAATCTGTCTGGATTTTGGGGGAAATCTGTTTGGATTTTGGGGGAATCTGTCTGGATTTTGCGGGAATGTGTCTGAATTTTGAGGGAAATCTGGCTGGATTTTGGGGGAAATCTGTCTGGATTTTGGGGGGAAATCTGTCTGGATTTTGGGGGAAATCTGGCTGGATTTTGGGGGTAAATCTTTCTGGATTTTGGGGGAAATCTGGCTGGATTTTGGGCAGGATGCAGCTTGGATTCAGGTGAGAATCCCAGCTGACCTTTTGGAGAACCTGCCCCGTTTTTTGGGAACCTTGGCTCACTTTTTGGGACAAACCAGCCTGATTCTGGGGACAAACCAGCCTGATTTTGGGGACACAGCAGCCTGATTTTGGGGACAAACCAGCCTGATTTGGGGGTCTGGCTCCAGCTCCAGCAGCACAGCTCCATCCCAGAGCTGGAAATTGGGATTTCCCCTGGTCCTGGGGGAGCGCGGGCCGGGGCAGGACGGGATCAGCGGGGCTTTGGGACCCTCCGGGAGCCCTGCTGGGGGCTCCGGGGGGGTCCCAGCTGCCCCCCTCCCCTCCCCAGATCGTGCTGGACGTGGGCTGCGGCTCGGGCATCCTCTCCTTCTTCGCGGCGCAGGCCGGGGCGCGCAAAATCTACGCGGTGGAAGCCAGCACCATGGCCCAGCACGCCGAGGTGAGCCGGCCCGGGGGGGGCTCCCCAGCACCTCGGGGGGCTCCATCCCGTGCCCTGACCCCCGTCCTCTGCCCCCACTTTTCCCCCAGGTGCTGGTGAAGAGCAACAACCTGACGGAGCGGATCGTGGTGATCCCGGGCAAGGTGGAGGAGGTGTCGCTGCCCGAGCAGGTGGACATCATCATCTCCGAGCCCATGGGCTACATGCTCTTCAACGAGCGCATGCTCGAGAGCTACCTGCACGCCAAGAAGTACCTGAAACCCAGTGGTGAGCGCCGCGGGGGGGTCCCCGGGGGGGTCCCCGGGGGTTCTGGGACCCCCCCCGGGCTCCAAGGCCGTGCCTTCCCCAGGGAATATGTTCCCCACGATCGGGGACGTGCACCTGGCGCCCTTCACGGACGAGCAGCTCTACATGGAGCAGTTCACCAAGGCCAACTTCTGGTGAGCCCGCCCGGGCCCTGCTCCCCTGCCCGGCTCCTGAGCCCAGTCCCTGTTCCTGTTCCCAGTCCCTGTTCCTGCTTCCAGTCCTGTTCCCAGTCCCTGTTCCTTTTCCCATTCCCAGTCCCAGTCCCCTTCCCAGCTCCTGTTCCCAGTCCCTGTTCCTGTTCCCACGCCGTCGGAGAACATGTGGAACACGGGCAGCACCTACAACATGAGCACGGGCATGGCCGTGGCTGGTGGGTGCTGGGGGGTCCCGAAGGGCTTGGGGAGGGGTCTCGAAGGGTTTTAGGGTTTGGGGAGGGGGTCACCCCTCGGTTTTTTGGGGGGGGGTTTTGACGCCCCCTCCCCACGCAGGGATGCCGGCGGCGTACGACCTGAGCAGCGTCATCGCCGGCGGCTCCAACGTGGGCCACAACAACCTGATCCCCCTAGGTGAGCTCGGGGGGCTTCCTGAGCTGGGTGGGGGTCTCCGGGTGTGGGTGGGGGTCTCAGGGTGTGGGTGAGGGTCTCAGGATGTGGGTGAGGGTCTCACAACCCCCCCTCCCCACCCACCCTTCAGCCAACACCGGCATCGTCAACCACACCCACTCCAGGATGGGCTCCATCATGAGCACGGGCATCGTGCAAGGTAAACCACGACCCCTCCCCTTTTAAAAAACCCCCCCCGAGACCCCCAGGCTGACACCCCCCTTGGGAAAACTGAGGCTGGAAGTTGAGAAAAATGGGGCTGGAATTTGGGAAGAACCAGTGCTCAAAGGTGGGAAACTGAGGCTGGAAGCTTGGAAAACTGGATGTGGAATTTGGGAGAAGTGGGGCTGGAATTTGGGCAATCCAAGCCATTCCCTCACTAACCATTCCCTGTTTTTGGAGCTAAACCCATAAATTCCTGCCCCAATCCCTGTCATTATCCAGTTCCCCCTCCCCATTCCCATTCCCAGTCCCCCTCCCCATTCCCATCCCCATTCCCATTCCCGTTCCCATCCCAGTCTGGCTCCCCCAGGTACCAGCCCTCCTTCCACGGCGTCGATCTCTCAGCGCTGCGCGGGGCGGCCGTGGACGAGTACTTCAGGCAGCCCGTGGTGGTGAGCGCCCCGGGGGGCTCCGGGGGGGCTTTGGGGGGGGCTCTGGGCCGGCCAGGAGGGTCCCAAGCCCACCAATCCCACCCCCCTTTTCCCAGGACACCTTCGACATCCGCATCTTGATGGCCAAATCCGTCAAATACACCGTCAACTTCTTGGAAGCCAAGGAGGGCGACTTGCACAGGTGAGGGCCGCCTGGAAGGGCCTGGGGAGGGGTCTTGGGGGTCTCCCGCCCCCCCCCAATAATTCCCTTTCTCCTCCAGGATAGAAATCCCCTTCAAATTCCACATGCTGCACTCGGGGCTGGTGCACGGCCTGGCCTTCTGGTTCGACGTGGCCTTCATCGGCTCCATGTAGGCGTCAGGGTGGGCTGGGGAGGGGTCCCGGGGGGGTGGGCAGGGCCGGGCCTGACCCCCCCCGCCCCCTGTGCCCCCCCAGAATGACGGTGTGGCTCTCGACGGCCCCCACGGAGCCGCTGACCCACTGGTACCAGGTGCGCTGCCTGTTCCAGTCGCCGCTCTTCGCCAAGGCCGGCGACACGCTCTCAGGGACCTGCCTGCTCATCGCCAACAAGAGGTGGGCGGGGGGCTGGGGGGTT